GTGTGCAGGACATGAACAGGGAGGTGGTGAAGACTGACTGTGCCACGGCTCGAATTCCAGAGCTGGACTTTGAGATCCCCCCTTTCACCCAGAAGGGAGGTGGGTACCCCTGCGGCGTGCCAGCGGGTGTGTGGTGGACACCAGTTAAGGACCTGGCCTCTTGTCTGTTGGGTCAGATCAACTCTAGAGGGCCAATGCACAGAGGCTGCTGGCGATCAGTACAAGCTGGTGGGTTGGGTAGCACCGCTGTGGTGTACTTAATGGTGTCACAGCTTTTTGTTTCTTTCCTTCTCAAGTTCTTACCACCATTGAAGGGATAATTGACAGAGCTGTTGCGGGCCTGGAGCAGGACCAGCCTATCCGCAGGGTAAGATGTTGTGAAAGGTGAAGCTCCTCGGGGATGCCTGCTTGGCAGGTGCTGGTTTTGTTCACCCTCTGCCTGTTGGCAGCGCACACTGCTGCTGAGAAGCGTGTTACAGGCTCTCTGGTTTGTGCTCTTATCAGCTTTGTCTTCAGCTCTGGGCTGAAGCATCAGCCTCAAATACGTCCTCTTTTGCAGGCAACGAACGAAGAGGTGGCGAGTAAAATCGATGAGTTCATTGGCAAACTCAAGCAGCTGAAAGAAGTACATTCCCCCTTCACCTTTGTGAGTAGGCACAAGAGCATTCAACCCCCTCCTTTCTGCACGGAGGATGTGCAGGATGGCTTCCTCAGGCTTTGTTCTCCTGTAGATCATCGACGATCCTTCCGGGAACAGTTTTGTGGAGAACCCTCGTGCCCCGCAGAAGGATGAGGCTCTCGTGGTCACTCACTACAGGAGGACACCGCAGCAGTCTGCCATGCTGGGGCTGGAGGTAACGGGGAGCTGCGGGCTGTGTGTGCTCTCAGCCCAGGGGAGCGGGGCTGGTTGGTCCCCTTGCTCTCTGGGACATCCTGAATTAAGGAACAGAAGTTAATGCTGCCTTTGGTGTCCCCTCTTGCAGGGAGAGGAGGTGGAAGAGAAGCCAGCTGATTCTGCAGAGGATCTGAGGAATGAGGTGGGTGGCTCTGCAGGGCAGTGGTGGCCATGCCTGGCTGGCTGGCACCCAGGGTGGGCTTTGTGGGCTGGCTGGGACTTCCAGTGTCTCCATTCCTGTCACCCAGGTCCTGCAGTTCAACACCAACTGCCCCGAGTGCAACGCTCCAGCTAGCACCAATATGAAGTTAGTGCGTATCCTTTGAGGGGGGCGTGGGCGCAGATCCGTGCCCTGGGTGGGGTCTGCATGGAGGTTGGTGTGGGGGCCGTGAGAGTCAGTCTGTGTGCTGACCCAGGTCTCTTCCTGCTGCACCTGTAAGGCAAGAACACATTATTTATGCTACAACCTCTCTGTCTTGGTGCCACTCACAACTTGCCGGCGAGCTCCTGCTTTACCTTGGAAAGAACTGAGGCTGTGAGGAGCACAGGCTGCTGCCTTGAGGCTTTCCTTTTGCTGAGGTTTCCTTGACTGTCTTGCTCCAGAAATCCCTCACTTCAAGGAAGTGATAATCATGGCCACAAACTGTGACTCCTGTGGGCACAGGACAAACGAGGTGAGCTGGGAAACAATGGAGCATCTCTTGGGGGGCAGTGGGGAGGGAGAGCGGTGGTCTGGGCTTTCCTGGGTGGGTGTTTCTCAGCGTCTCTGTCCTCCCCTTCTCAGTGCGGCTGTTTGGGAGGGAGGCTGGATTTACGGGTGGTGTCCTGAGGTGCATTGTGCTGGGGGTAGTAGAGCTGCCTCGCTTGCTTCTGGGTGGGGGCCAGACCATACAGGAGCTGTGCAGGGGCTGGTGTGTGCAGCGAACCCAGGCTGGGTCTGACTTGCCTTCCTAAACAAGCCAAGGGTGAGAATTTGGTCTGGAAGAGCTCCAGTTGGTGCAAGTCAGCCATCTTCACAGCTGCTCATGTCCCCTGGGTTAAGGCACTGTCCCCAGGGTTGGGGTGGCCTCTGAGCTGCCAGGAGAAACCCTCTGAAGCATCATGGTGTGATTGAAGTGCAAAAATCCATGAAGCTGACTTCTGGCTGTTCCTAGGTGAAGTCCGGAGGAGCAATTGAATCTCAGGGCACCAGGATTACCCTTCGGATTACAGACCCTTCCGACATGACAAGGGATATCCTAAAGGTACTGTGCTTGCAGATCCCTGCCCTGTCCCGCTGCAGCGGGAGTGTGGGGCCTGGCTGTCCTTCTGCGGGGACTCACGGGGTGCCTGCCCTTGCAGTCAGAGACGTGCAGCGTGGAGATCCCCGAGCTGGAGTTCGAGCTGGGCATGGGAGCGCTGGGGGGGAAATTCACCACGCTGGAAGGGCTGCTGAAGGACATTGCAGAGCTGGTGAGTGATCCTGTGCTGCTGCCCGGTGGGGCTCAGAGCCCTCTGCATTAATTTCTGTCCTGGCTGGGTGTCTCCCAGCCGGCTGAGTGAGTGGGTCTTACTCTTCCAGGTGGAGAAAAACCCCTTCACCCTGGGGGACAGCTCTATGCCCAGCAGAACAGAAAAGCTGCAGGAGTTCATTGGGAAACTGCACGAGGTGAGAGCACTCCTGCTTTTCCATGCTCTGCAGTGTGGTTTTCGCCAGGGCTATGAATTCTAGTAACTGAAGTCTTTTCTGGCTGTTCCATGCTCACCCCTGTGCCCTCTCTTGTTTTACCGAGCTGTTTCTGTTTTTTAACTGGGGAAAATGTTAGAACTGTCTGAAGTGTGCTGTGAATGTCTTGGTGCCAGACGTGCTGAAGGCTCGGAACTAGCCTTGATGCCTGGACGTGGTCTCTTTCTGCAGATCATGGAGGGAAAGACAACGGCTCACTTCATCATGGATGACCCTGCAGGCAACAGCTATCTGCAGGTACAGCCTTGTGTGCTCAGAAGATGAACTCAAAGCCTCCCGAGCAGTTTGAGTGGATTTTCTGCGTTATTTCCCTGATGTGTGTTGGCGGGCAGGGTCTGTCGGGGCTCTGGTGGGGAGGGGGTTGCTGCAGGCTCTGAAGGAGGGCTCTGTCTCTCCTGCAGAACGTGTACGCCCCAGAAGAGGACCCGGAGCTGAAAGTGGAGCGCTATGAGCGTACATTTGAGCAGAACGAAGACCTGGGCCTGAACGACATGAAGACGGAGGGCTACGAGTCAGAGGGAGCCCCAGGCCGGTAGCAGCCGGACC